AGTACATGCAGTCTCCCAAGACCTCACACCTCCTTGTTGTTGAGAGAATTTTAGCCTACTTGAAGAGGTGTCCAGGCCGAGGTATGCTTTTTAAAAATAGTGGCCATATGAAGATTGAAGTATACACTGATGCAGATTGGGCAGGTTGTATTGATGATAGGAGATCTACTTCTGGGTATTGTGTCTTTGTTGGAGGAAATTTAGTTTCATGGAGGAGCAAGAAGCAAAATGTTGTTGCTCGGTCCAATGCTGAAGCTGAATACAGGTTTATGGCTAATGGTGTTGCTGAAATATTATGGCTGAAGTGTTGAAATATTATGGTTGAAATCTCTCCTTACAGAATTGGGAATTGAGTTTGAAAGACCCTTAATGTTGTATTGTGATAATCAGGCGGCATCAACATTGCTCACAACCCAATACAGCATGATAGAACCAAACACATTGAAGTTGACAAACATTTCATCCGAGAGAAAGTTGCCTCTCAAGAAGTGTGCCTTCTGTATGTTGCCACTAATATGCAGCTTGCCGATGTCTTCACCAAGGCAATCAACAAAATCAAACTTGAGGCAGATTTAAGCAAGTTGGGAATGATCAATATATTTTCCCAACTTGAGGGGGAGTGTAGAGAAAATGGTAGACCAGCTTGTGGTCCCACCACCTGCTCATATGTTTTTTCTTGTCTACAGTACTGTTAGATTTTTTCTATTGTTTCTAGTGACAGGGGTATTCCTATCATTGTACCACTTAATATTGAAGACTTAGGGCCTGTTCGTTTGCTTTGAAGTCTGACATTTGAAAGTGCAATAATTACATTAAGAGGTATATTAGTATTGGTGTAATGTCAATAATTACATTAAGAGGTATATTGCTCTGAACTCTGAATGCAGAGAATGTTGTTCTTAACTCAGAATTCTGAATTCTGAAAATTATCAAATATCTATTTTGACCACATATATTAGAGTTTTTGTTTGTCTTTTTGGGGGTATTATTGGAAAACAAAAATATGTATGATTGCACTTTAAGAGATAAGAGATAAGAGGAAACGAACAACCATTTTTCTCTTAAAGTTAAAAGATTCCTCTTAAGAGATAAGAGTTAAGAGGAAACGAACAGGCCCTTAATTTAAATGACATTTGGGGCAGCAGACCAAGAGTGTCGAACCCTCGCATTCTCTTCTTTTTTCCTCTTCTCCTCTTCTCTTCTCTCTTCTCCTCTTTTCTTCTCTCCTTTTTTTCTCTTCATTTCTGGTTTATTTCTCCTTACTAGACAGGTCTTAACCTTCTTGATTTTAGACAATTGTGCCATCATCACCCTTATCATTAAAGGGTCCACCTGATCTAGACCTTCTAGTAAATGTACTTCTACCAACTCATTATGTTTCTTTTGCTCACTTGTCTCCTTCCTATTAGAAATTTGTTCACCTCTCTCCTTCCTATTAGAAAGTTGGGGCATCTAAAGTATTTCTTGGAAATTGAGATGACCAAATCAATGTGAGGGATTTCCCTTTCACAACGTAAGTATGCTCTTGATTTGTTGGAAGAAATGGGGTTACTAGGAGCTAAGCTAGTTAACATTCCTCTCGACTCAAATACTAAGACAACTGATAGTGAGGGGGAGCTATTGGATGAACCAAGAAGATATAGGCGATTGGTGGGTAAACTTATCTGTCCTACTATTACCAGACCTAATATATCATTTAATGTGGGAATATTGAGTCAATTTATGCAAAACCAAAGGACTAGCTATTGGGAAGGTATTATCAAGGTGTAACAAATAAGAAGTCTACCATAGGTTACTAGAAGCAGGGCTGAAGCTGAATATGAAGGGATGGAATATCCATCACATGGACGCCCAAGTCTTGCGGAATGGACTGGGCGAATTTCAAAAAAGTTTCTCCCATCTTTGTAGGGAATTGAATTCCCTATTTTAGAAAACATATTTTCAATGATCAATCTTGAACCATGAACCAAATCAGATCTGAACCAAAAGGAGTAGGAAGGAGGATGCACCTGATACGGAGAAACAGTATCTCCCAATGGAGGTGTTCACGCCYAWGGAAGGATCCAAAATCTGCTCCCACTGAARATGGCGCAGTGCAGRATGGAGCAGAATCAGCAATGTTCTTCCAAAAGAACTTGACCCTTCGCAAGAAT